GAATGCTTTTTTTATATATCTCCATTTCAAGGAAATAAGAAACAAGAGATTTCTTACACGTCTAAAAAGACCTTTTTTAATATGCTGAGAAACATCCCTATTAAGATTAAAGGATCCAAAAGAATCGATCTTTCTTTTAGTGGTTGAATCTCTCTTTGATTGGTCAATGTATTGCCCTTACTTATACTTAACTTATAAGGCTATGCCATCCTAAGGTGCTGCTAAATGGATGGATCTTAGTATATACTTCGACTTTCTTGTGCTAGAACTTTGGCTCGGAAACAGAAAAGTACTGCATATCTTGTCTAGGCAAAATTTTGGAAATGATACCTTTATTTCCGTGTCTTCCAGCCACTTTATCGCCGACTTTGATTTCACGTTTCTGTGAAATATATACACGAATCGTTTCTGGCTTATCTCCCCTTTTCTAGATCCACCTCACATCAATAACCCTGCCCCTACCACCTATAGGTAGTTTTAAACAAGTTTCTTTTGGAGTAGATAGCAGAATGTCAAGTATGGCCCGTAACAATCTATCTTCGGGAGCATACGACGACTCTTTCACCACTTGAGGCGTTACTTTACCCACTAAAATATCACATGTCTCTACCCAAGATCCCAACATCATAATTCCGTTTTTGTTTAAATTGCGAAGTAAGTGTGCTTCTAAATCTTCTGTTATCATCCGACTCGGCAAGACACTGTTAAGAGGTTTTGAGCATCTTATTAAACGCAATTAACAGTTAAACCGACATGAATCATAACCGCACCGATCTACACCAAAGAACCGGTCTGAACCACCAAAAACCGAAGTGACCGACGATTACCGAGGTCAACATCCACCGAGGACAACATGAACCGAGGTCGTCACCTCCTTAAGCAGGTGACAAGGCCTCTACGAGAAGCTCTCCTACACCACAAGATCTGTCATCATTTACGTGGGGCCCCCCTGCCTCGAACCGCCCATAAAAAGCCACTTTATTCAAAAAGTAGTACGCGGATCCCGATGCCTCAACCCAAAACTACTATAAATAGCAGACCTATGACAATTGTAAAGCTCTGGAGGTTTGAGAGATATTACCGAACTGTAATCCCTTTATTACGTAACACGAAAAAGCCCATCACGGCTCTTCACCTCGGTTCACCTCGGACCGGGGCCATTGTTGATTCACTCTTACATGCTTTACGTTCAAATCACTCCAACTTACTCCCTTAATCATAGATTATATCGTTGTTAACAATCACATAACAACATCTGGTATTGCATTAGGGAATGAAAAAAAGAGATCTTGTTACTACGCTCGGGAAGGATGAATCGCTCCCGAAAAGGAATCCAAAATCTTTGTAGACAGAACCAATCATTAGTTCCCAACCATGGGGTGAAATCTTTTATTTTTTAAACCTAATCGCTCTTTTGATTTCGGAAAAAACTTTCTTTATCAATATACTGTTTCTTTTACACACACATCTTCATTCCATAATAGAGAATGTTAATAGCATTATAGTACTTGTATGCTTTTAGCTGGAATCTTATTAAAAACGAGAACGTAGGGATTTTAGTCTTTCTGGTCAGTATCCTTAATTCTCTCATCTCTTGAACCTATTCATCCCAGATCCAAAACCGAAATGATCCCCCCCAAAAGAAAATGAAAAAAAATGGGGGGGTCAAACTTCTTGGATGAAAAAAACGACAATGAATTCGATTTTAGATTCAAAAATTAGATTAAGAAAAAAATTTCACTCTAAAGAGAGTCTCCAGCCTGACGCTGCACAAATATGACCGGGGTATATATATTAACATATATGTGTAGATATATTGTGTATCACGAAGAAAAATGCGGATATAGTCGAATGGTAAAATTTCTCTTTGCCAAGGAGAAGGTGCGGGTTCAATTCCCGCTATCGGCCCCAAGACGAACTACCATAGGGGGTTTATTAAAACCATTGAATTCAGAATATGGTAAAGTAGCTCCGGGGTGGGGAACGACCCCTTTGATGGGTGTCGCAATGGCTCTATTTGCGATATTTCTATCTATTATTTTGGAGATTTATAATTCTTCCGTTTTGTTGGATGGAATTTCAATGAATTAAATCTATAAGAATCACAAATAATAATCTATTATTATCAATGAATAGATCTCTTTATTTGTATGAGATATATGTCTCGTATTTATCGAAAAAGCGATTCGTTTGAAGGGGTTTTTGATGATATCGATGAGAACACCCAAACAGCGCTCCAAATATCCCGTCAACCCAGAAAAATAAGAAAATTTTAAATCCATCTCCTTTCACGCAACCAATTTAACCCTTCAAATTCAAAGAAGTATTCACATTTCTTTTGAACGAAAGAAAAAAAGAGAAAATCGAATTTCATTTTTAGACACTTTTTTTAATATTTCAATTTCATTTAAATTTTATTTAAGAATTTAACAAACTCTACCCATCTATAATCTATTATAATATATAAAATCTATAAAATAGGTGGGATATATCTCGCCAATCGCCAAGATAGAAAAAAAGTATCTATTATGATTCAGATTCGAAATCAATATGTACCTCGCTTAATATCAAAAAAA